AGATATTTCGTTCTAACGGGCTTTAATCGAGCGAAACTTCGAGGGTAAACAAGCATTTGTTTCCGCACACACTTGCTTCTCTTATAACATTTGCCTACAAGTCGACCATCTAACAAGAAGCCTGACTCCCGTGCTTCACTCACTCTTACGTTATAAACTTGAGTCAACTAACTTGGGATTGAAGGAATGATGTCTATCCTGGGCGCGGCCTGCTTGGCCAGGTTGGACTGGTGCTGCCTCACCAGGATCATGGGATCGATGCTGATTGGAGGCGGCAGCGTGGTGTGTGTGGCCACCGAGGTCTTGGTCACCTTAGACCAGTCCACGTCCTGGCCCACTCGTGGTACACCCATCATCTCTTCTCTATCGGCCGATGGGGAGAGAAAGTAGAATGTAGATAAAAGGTACAGAGAACCGACAAGTTGATAAATTTGAAAAAATTGCAACACTTGGGTTTCTTTACTGTAGGGACGTTTCGCCACACAGTGGCTTCATCAGCCCAATGCAAAGAATGGTGAAGATCATAAGGAGTTTGAGGTAATCAGTCCCTCAGCCTGGCTGAGGGTATGGGACCCTGGGACTGGGAGAGACCGGACCTCTGGGACTTGGGAAAGACTGGACCCTGGAACCTGGGAAACCCTGGAACCTGGGAAACCCTGGACCCTGGGACTTGGTTAAGACTGGATCACGGGACCTAATCCAAACATGATTCAAAGATACTGTACCTTGGGTAACCTAACTGTTACCCTCCCCTCCCACACACTGCTTCCAGTATCCCAACACTGCTACCAGCACCCCCACACTGCTTCCAGCACTCCCACACTGCTTCCAGCACCCCGACACTGCTTCCAGCACTCCCCACTGCTTCCAGCACCCCAACACTGCTACCAGCACCCCGACACTGATTCCAGCACTCCCACACTGCTTTCAGCGCCCCCAATACTGCTACCAGCACCTCCACACTGCTTCCAGCACTCCAACACTGCTACTAGCATCCCCCACACTGCTTCCAGCACCCCAACACGGCTACCAGTATCCCCCACACTGCTTCCAGCACCCCCCCACACTCACCTCATAATGCTCATGAGTGGGTACTTGACTCCCTCACCACACATGGTGCCAGTAAAGTCGTCCATATCAATGGTCCAGACCATGGCTCCACCGAAGCCATTCTTCTTGATCCACCTCATCTTGTTGCGGATGGCTCGCTCGTCGTCGAAACCCACCCACAAGCTGCCCTTCACCATGTATGGCACCTGCATCTCGTCGTGCCACACGTACTCTCCTCCCGTGCGTAGATGCTCACAAACCTGTGCAACACACAAACGTGGTTAGTTTCTTCACGATTAAAGCCTAACGAATGTATGTTATTGTTTGAATTGGGAAGCAGTCTAAGAACTTTCTACACTGATCGTATATGCCCCGGCCCCATTATAACCTTGCTACAGTCGTCTTACACAATAACCACACAGGAAGTGAAACTAGTCCAAGTGATTTTTTTCTTATTCTACAATATTCATAATTGTTTCCGTGATAACAGCTAAGGGTGTGTCTGTAAATTTTGACGAAAGGGTAAATATCCTTGAAGGCTGTAATTCGTTTGTGTACAAACGCTCAAAAACACTTGAATCCCTAAGATGCGTATTAAATTTTTTTTCTACCTTCTCTCCCCTCCCTTTCCTTTCCCTCTTCCTTCTTCCCCCCTCACACACATTCCCCCCCCCCTCACATTAGCATGCTGAATCAGGGAGGAAGTCATCTGACCAGCGTGAGGACTCTCTTTCCATTTTCCTGAATACTGGAGACCCAGTCTTGTCTCAAGTTATAGTAAGCCATGAAACCATCCCCATTGGTGTACTCACCTCATAGTAAGCCATGAAGCCACCCTCGTTGGTATACTTGCCGGCTTCACCTCCGCCACTGGCAGGGGAGTTGACGTTGGTGCGGGCAGGGTTGGCCAAGGTGAAGGTCCGGCCGTAGGTGGGCATCCCGATGATCAACTTCTCCTTAGGTGCCCCGAGTTTGGCCCATCTGAGGCAGAGACACGAACCTTACTCAGCTGTTACCTGCTGTACATCTGTTACTCAGGTGCTACCTGCTGTACATCTGTTACTCAGCTGCTACCTACTGTACATCTGTTAATCAGCTGCTACCCACTGTACATCTGTTACTCAGGTGCTACCTACTGTACATCTGTTACTCAGGTGCTACCCACTGTACATCTGTTACTCAGGTGCTACCTACTGTACATCTGTTACTCAGGTGCCACCTACTGTACATCCTCTACTGGTTGGTTTAACAGGTTTCAAGAATATCGAGCACACGAGGGTGATCAAGCCTGGGTGTCACCTGACACAGCCCGTCAAGGATACTTTAATATATACTTCAGGTATTAAAGTGTACATACACTTAGAGATATAAACCTCTCGGTATATATACCTTGACCTCTTAGTGTATACACATCAAGATACATATAATCACCAGAATATACACAAAGCAGAGCTCTAAACAACGGGCTTCTTATATATATATATATATATATATATATATATATAAATATATATATATATATATATATATATATTTTATATATATATATATATATATATATATATATAATATATAATTTTGTAACAGTTACGTAAATTTTTAGTTTATAATAATTATAACAATAATAATAAATAAATAATAGTAATAATAACAATAATAAATGATAATAATAATAATGATAATAAATAAATAATAATAATAATAATAATAATAATAATAATAATAATAATAATAATAATAATAATAACAATAAGAATAAGAGAGGTGTTTACTAACAGGTTTGAGGCGTGGTCGACAGAGAGCTGCTTCCTCCACTCAGTGTCGTCTGAAGGAGCGTAGAGAGGAGCGTTGTGTCCCACTTGGTTCTCCCACTTACCGTGGAAGTCGTAAGCCATCACGTTAATGAAGTCAAGGTACCTGTGGGCGAGGGGGGAATGAAGTACATGTGGCGTCAAGGTACCTGTGGGCGAGGGGGAGAATGAGGTACAAGTGGCGATCCTTGACGTTTCGCCCAAAACCAGTTGCTTTATCAATCTTATAGCAAGGCTAGACTGAGGTGCTCAGCCCATAATAAGCATTGATGAATTTAATATATAATAATAAGTGTGAGGAAGACCAGGTGTTAGAAGACTACCAGCTGAACCAGGAAGGTGGGAGATGGAGGCAAGAAGGTGGGAGATGGAGGCAAGAAGGTTGGGGAAAAGAATGGAGCAAGAAGTGGGAGGAGGGGGGAGATGGAAGCAAGAGGTGGGAGATGGAGGCAAGAAGGTGGGAGATGGGGGCAAGAAGGTGGGAGAGGGAGGCAAGAAGGTCGGAGATGGAGGCAAGAAGGGTGGGAGATGGAAGGCAAGAAGGTGGGAGATGGAGGCAAGAAGGTGGGAGATGGAAGCAAGAAGGTGGGAGATGGAGGCAAGAAGGTGGGAGATGGAGGCAAGAAGGTGGGAGATGGAGGCAAGAAGGTGGGAGATGGGGAAAGAAGGTGGGAAAATGGAGGCAAGAAGGTGGGAGATGGAGGCAAGAAGGTGGGAGATGGAGGCAAGAAGGAGGAAGATGGAGGCAAGAAGGTGGGAGATGGAGCAAGAAAGTGGGAGAATGGAGGCAAGAAGGTGGAGAGGGAAAGGCAAGAAGGTGGGAGATGGAGGCAAGAAGGTGGGAGATGGAGGCAAGAAGGTGGGAGATGGAGCAAGAAGGTGGGAGATGGAGGCAAGAAGGGGGGAGATGGAAGCAAAAAGGGTGGGAATGGAGGCAAGAAGGTGGGAGATGGAGGCAAGAAGGTGGGAATGGAGGCAAGAAGGTGGGAATGGAGGCAAGAAGGTGGGAGATGGAGGCAAGAAGGTGGGAGATGGGAGCAAGAAGGTGGGAGATGGAGGCAAGAAGGTGGGAGATGGAAAGCAAGAAGGTGGGAGATGGAGGCAAGAAGGTGGAGATGGAGGCAAGAAGGTGGAGATGGAGGCAAGAAGGTGGGAGATGGAGGCAAGAAGGTGGGAGATGGAGGCAAGAAGGTGGGAGATGGAGGCAAGAAGGTGGGAGATGGAGGCAAGAAGGTGGGAGATGGGAGCAAGAAAGTGGGAGATGGAGGCAAGAAGGTGGGAGAGGGGAAGCAAGAAGGTGGGAGATGGAGGCAAGAAGGTGGGAGATGGAAGCAAGAAGGTGGGAGATGGAGGCAAGAAGGTGGGAGATGGAAGCAAGAAGGTGGGAGATGGAGGCAAGAAGGTGGGAGATGGGAGCAAGAAGGTGGGAGATGGAGGCAAGAAGGTGGAGATGGAGGCAAGAAGGTGGGAGATGGAGCAAGAAGGTGGGAGATGGAGGCAAGAAGGTGGAGAGGGGAGCAAGAAGGTGGGAGATGGAGGCAAGAAGGTGGGAGAGGGAAAGGCAAGAAGGTGGGAGATGGAGGCAAGAAGGTGGGAGATGGAGGCAAGAAGGTGGGAGATGGAGGCAAGAAGGTGGGAGATGGAGGCAAGAAGGTGGGAGATGGAGGCAAGAAGGTGGAGATGGAGGCAAGAAGGTGGGAGATGGAGGCAAGAAGGTGGGAGATGGAGGCAAGAAGGTGGGAGATGGAGGCAAGAAGGTGGGAGATGGGGGAAAGAAGGTGGGAGATGGAGGCAAGAAGGTGGGAGATGGGGGCAAGAAGGTGGAGATGGAGGCAAGAAGGTGGAGAGGGAGGCAAGAAGGTGGGAGATGGAGCAAGAAGGTGGGAGATGGAAGCAAGAAGGTGGGAGATGGAGGCAAGAAGGTGGGATGGAAGCAAGAAGGTGGGAGATGGAGGCAAGAAGGTGGGAGATGGGGGCAAGAAGGTGGGAGATGGAGGCAAGAAGGTGGGAGATGGAGGCAAGAAGGGGGAGATGGGAAGAAGTGGGAATGGAGCAAGAAGGTGGGAGATGGAGGCAAGAAGGTGGGAGATGGAAGCAAGAAGGTGGGAGATGGAGGCAAGAAGGTGGGAGATGAGCAAGAAGGTGGAGATGGAGGCAAGAAGGTGGGAGATGGAGGCAAGAAGGGGGGAGATGGAGGCAAGAAGGTGGGAGATGGAGGCAAGAAGGTGGGAGATGGGGGCAAGAAGGTGGGAGAGGGGAGCAAGAAGGTGGGAGATGGAGGCAAGAAGGTGGGAGATGGAAGCAAGAAGGTGGGAGATGGAGGCAAGAAGGTGGAGATGGAGGCAAGAAGGTGGGAGATGGAGGCAAGAAGGTGGGAGATGGGGGCAAGAAGGTGGGAGATGGAGGGCAAGAAGGTGGAGAGGGAGGCAAGAAGGTGGGAGATGGAGGCAGAAGGTGGGAGATGGAGGCAAGAAGGTGGGAGATGGAGGCAAGAAGGTGGGAAGGAGGCAAGAAGGTAGGAGATGGAGGCAAGAAGGTGGGAGAGGGGGCAAGAAGGTGGGAGATGGAGGCAAGAAAGTGGGGAGATGGAGGCAAGAAGGTGGAGATGGAGGCAAGAAGGTGGAGATGGAGGCAAGAAGGTGGGAGATGGAGGCAAGAAGGTGGAGATGGAGGCAAGAAGTGGGAGATGGAGCAAGAAGGTGGGAGATGAGGCAAGAAGGTGGGAATGGAGGCAAGAAGGTGGAGAATGGAGGCAAGAAGGTGGGAGATGGAAGCAAGAAGGGGGGAGATGGAGGCAAGAAGGTGGAGATGGAGGCAAGAAGGTGGGAGAGGGGAAAGCAAGAAGGTGGGAGATGGGAGCAAGAAGTGGGAGATGGAGCAAGAAGGTGGGAGATGGAGGCAAGAATGTGAGAGATGGAGGCAAGAATGTGGGAGATGGAAGCAAGAAGGTGGGAGATGGAGGCAAGAAGGTGGGAGATGGAGGCAAGAATGTGAGAGATGGAGGCAAGAATGTGGGAGATGGAAGCAAGAAGGTGGAGATGGAGGCAAGAATGTGAGAGATGGAGGCAAGAATGTGGGAGATGGAGGCAAGAAGGTGGAGATGGGAGCAAGAAGGTGGGAGATGGAGGCAAGAATGTGAGAGATGGAGGCAAGAATGTGGGAGATGGAAGCAAGAAGGTGGGAGATGGAAGCAAGAATGTGGGAGATGGAAGCAAGAAGGTGAGAGATGGAAGCAAGAGAGGAGAGATGGAAACAAGAGAGGAGAGATGGAAGCAAAGGGGAGGAGAGATGGAAGCAAGAGAGGGAAAGATGGAAGCAAGAGAGGAGAGATGGAAGCAAGAGAGGAGAGACGGAAGCAAGAGAGGAGAGATGGAAGCAAGAGAGGAGAGACGGAAGCAAGAGAGGAGAGATGGAAGCAAGAGAGGAGAGATAGAAGCAAGAGAGGAGAGACGGAAGCAAGAGAGGAAGATGGAAGCAAGAGAGGAGAGATAGAAGCAAGAGAGGAGAGATGGAAGCAAGAGAGGAGAGATGGAAGCAAGAGAGGAGAGATAGAAGCAAGAGAGGAGAGATGGAAGCAAGAAGGTAGGAGATGGAGGCAAGAAGGTGGGAGATGGAGGCAAGAAGGTGGGAGATGGAGGCAAGAAGGTGGAGATGGAGGCAAGAAGGTGGGAGATGGGAGCAAGAAGGTGGAGATGGAGCAAGAAGGTGGGAGATTGGAGCAAGAAGGTGGGAGATGGGAGCAAGAAGGTGGGAGATAGAGGCAAGAATGTGAGAGATGGAGGCAAGGTGAGAGATGGAGGCAAGAAGGTGAGAGATGGAGGCAAGGTGAGAGATGGAGGCAAGAAGGTGAGAGATGGAGCAAGGTGAGAGATGGAGGCAAGAAGGTGAGAGATGGAGGCAAGGTGAGAGATGGAGGCAAGAAGGTGAGAGATGGAGGCAAGGTGAGAGATGGAGGCAAGAAGGTGAGAGATGGAGGCAAGGTGAGAGATGGAGGCAAGAATGTGAGAGATGGAGGCAAGGTGAGAGATGGAGGCAAGAAGGTGAGAGATGGAGGCAAGGTGAGAGATGGAGGCAAGAAGGTGAGAGATGGAGGCAAGGTGAAGATGGAGGCAAGAAGGTGAGAGATGGAGGCAAGAAGGTGAGAGATGGAGGCAAGAAGGTGGGAGATGGAGGCAAGAATGTGAGAGATGGGGGCAAGGTGAGAGATGGAGGCAAGAAGGTGAGAGATGGAGGCAAGGTGAGAGATGGAGGCAAGAAGGTGAAGATGGAGGCAAGGTGAGAGATGGAGGCAAGAAGGTGAGAGATGGAGGCAAGAAGGTGAGAGATGGAGGCAAGAAGGTGGGAGATGGAGGCAAGAATGTGAGAGATGGAGGCAAGAAGAGAGAGAGATGGAAGCAAGAAGAGAGAGATAGAAGCAAGAAGAGAAAAGATGGAAGCAAGAAGAGAGAGATGGAAGCAAGAAGAGAGAGATTGAAGCAAGCTGGGACATTGAGAGGGAGGGAGAGAAAAAAGGATGGAATGAGAGAAACAGGAAGGAAAGATGAAAGAAGAACGGAAGAAATGAGAGAAGAAAGGATGGAGGAAACAAAGATAGAAAGAAAGGGAGACAGGTAGAGAAAGAGATTATAGAATGTGGGAAGACGTATGCAGTGAAGGACGCTTTAAAGTACCAGTAGCTTGTACAAGGTTTATATATATATATATATATATATATATATATATATTATATATATATATATATAATATATATATATATAATGTGTGTGCGACCTGCTAACCTGGAGACGACAGGTACATCGTAGCCACCGCGGATGTTGTCAGGGCCGACAGGTACAGCTGCTGTCAGCATCAGACGAGGTTGACCTGTCTCCTTGGCTTCTGCCTCGAATGCTTCGTAAAGCTCTGTCGGAAAAGACCACGTGTTAGCGTGAAGGACCACGTGTTAATATTTACAATGATCAGCTGTTACTGTGGCGGACTACCTGTCAATGTTTACATTGATCAGCTGTTAGTGCAGAGGACCACGTGTTAATGTTTACAATAGAATGGCCGCGACGTCATAGTCAACATGACTAATGACGTCACCTTGATGGAACCAATCAACGCTGCCACAGACTGTTACATCACCAACCTTGTGACAGGAGGAAGGGAGAGAGAGGGAAGGTGGAAGCGTAAGTTTTAACAAACATTACAGTCTCTTAAAGGGCCAATGGTGAGAGCGACCTTGTAGCACCAGCTACGAGAAGTGCCTTGAAAGCTCTCGTTATTATTCCTCAGTGTTGCTTTACTGCAGAGGAACGCTCTCATTATTATTGCTGCAATGTTGCACAAGGTGGGAAGGTAACGTGTGAAGCTGAGTGTTTCCTGCTACCACTTAAAATCTTAACACAGACGTAGAAGTAACAAGTGGTATACCACTTTTCTGAACATCTTCGAGACAAATACAAGTCTTTGTATTCTTAATTGTGCAATTGACATTATTGCAATTATTTCAACTGTTATTGTTGCAGCTGTTATTTTTGCAACAGGTATTGTCACAATTATTATTACTGTAATTGTTAGTATTGCTATTTTATTATAATTTTGTATCATCAGCGCTATTAGAGAAGTCTCAGTGTATGACAATAAGGTCGATGAGTGTGGGATAATGCAGTAGGTGACACGACCTTATACACCCTCAAACAACACTGTTATTACTTCCCGGTCTCCCCTTGAAGCTGTGTGTGTGTGTGTTGTGTGTGTGTGTGTGTGTGTGTGTGTGTGTGTGTGTGTGTGTGTGTACTCGCCTAGTTGTGGTTGCAGGGGTCGAGTCACAGCTGCAGGTAGGTAGGTAGGTAGGTAGGTGTGTGTGTGTGTGTGACTGATCCCCTACCACTTCCTCCTCCAGATGGCTCCACCTGCCACCCTGAGACTGAAGAATCAGTTCTCCTGGCTGGTCTGTGTCAGTAGCTTACATTTATCTGTGTCACCTTCTGTCTGTCTGTGTCTCATTCCGAGTTGTGTTTCCCCCCCGTCCATCCTGCAGAATCCCCCGAGTATCTCACACGTCATCATCATATCTCTGTGACCAGTCTGGTGTCCCACAGCTCGATTACTAGCGCACTCAGCTCACACACTGAAGTCCGGGAGTCGATCCCCGGTACGGGTGGAAACATCAGGACATCTTTCCTTAAGACACCTGCTTCCATGCAGTAAAACAAGTACCTGATACTCTACATATATGTCAGGCAGAGACTCAGCCTCACTACTCACTGACTAGACCACCCTCCGGCCTCCACCACTCACACTCTTTGCGCTTAAAGACAAGACTACACCTGGGCTCGTAATATTGTGAGGTGAGCACTACGTGGCTGTTATAACTTACCCTTGAGGAGGAGGACGAAGTTAGCAGTGTCGTCTCGACCCTTAGGGTACTCCCAGTCGAGGTCGAGACCGTCAAAGGCGTGCTTCCTGAGGAAGGGCACAGCGCTGTAGATGAAGGTCTGGCGGGTGTAGCGAGTGGCTGACATGTCCTTGAACTTCTTGGTGCCGAAGGACCACCCTCCTGCAGGAGAAGCACACAGCTCAACACAGCTCAACACAAGTCATAATAGGTTATCAGTGGTTTCAGAAGCCATTAAAATACATCACACGTTATCAGAGTATAACGATATATATATATATATATATATATATATATATATATATATATATATATATATATATATATATATATATATATATATATATATATATATATATATATATGTCTGCCGAATAGGCAGAACTTGCGATCTTGGCTTAAATAGCAACGCTCATCTTGCCATATAGGACAAGCGAAAATTTGTGTATGCAATAATTTCGCCAAAATCATTCTGAACCTAACGAAAAAAAATATATTTCACTGTGTTTGTTTAGTATTAAATTATTGTAAACAAATCTAAAATATATTTAGTTGGGTTATGCTAAAATAAATTATTCTTGTTATAATAAGGTTAGGTAAGTTTTCTAAGTTCCTTTTGGTGCAAAATTATAAATTTTTACATCAACATTATTGAAAAAAAATCTATCTTTAAATGTATGAGAGAAAATTTTAGAAAGAACTTAATTTTAAATGAGTTCTTGCTAATTGACCAGTTTCACATATTCGGCACGACATATATATATATATATTATATATATATATATATATATATATATATATATAAAATATATATATATATATATATATATATATAATATATACAGCAAGCTGAAAGGAATGAACACATAGATTTTTTTAGTTATTAGATTACGAATCACTAATTACTGACACAAACAATGACAGGTACACTCCTATGCCCGCACATGTCAAAGCCAGTCATAGCATGAACCAGTTCAAGAAGACTGCCAAAAGGGGAATGATTTTCTATTTTTTAGCTAACATACGTGTAAATTTTACATTATTCCTAGTAATGACCCTCGTATTGTAGATAGTCTTAATGACCCTCGTATTGTAGATAGTCTTAATGACCCTCGTGTAGTAGATAGTCTTAATGACACTCGTATTGTAGATAGCCTTAATGACCCTCGTATTGTAGATAGCCTTAATGACCATCGTATTGTAGATAGTCTTAATGACCCTCGTATTGTAGATAGCCTTAATGACCCTCGTATTGTAGACAGTCTTAATGACCCTCGTATTGTAGATAGTCTTAATGACCCTCGTGTAGTAGATAGTCTTAATGACCCTCGTATTGTAGATAGTCTTAATGACCCTCGTATTGTAGATAGTTTTAATGACCCTTGTGTAGTAGATAGTCTTAATGACCCTCGTGTAGTAGTCTTAATGACCCTCGTGTAGTAGATAGTTTTAATGACCCTCGTGTAGTAGATAGTCTTAATGATCCTCGTGTAGTAGATAGTCTTAATGACCCTCGTGTAGTAGATAGTCTTAATGACCCTCGTGTAGTAGATAGTCTTAATGACCCTCATGTTGTAGATAGTCTTAATGACCCTCGTGTAGTAGTCTTAATGACCCTCGTGTAGTAGATAGTCTTAATGACCCTCGTGTTGTAGATAGCCTTAATGACCCTCGTGTAGTAGATAGTCTTAACGACCCTCGTGTAGTAGATAGTCTTAATGACCCTCATGTTGTAGATAGTCTTAATGACCCTCGTGTAGTAGTCTTAATGACCCTCGTGTAGTAGATAGTCTTAATGACCCTCGTGTTGTAGATAGCCTTAATGACCCTCGTGTAGTAGATAGTCTTAACGACCCTCGTGTAGTAGATAGTCTTAATGACCCTCGTGTAGTAGATAGTCTTATTGACCCTCGTGTAGTAGATAGTCTTAATGACCCTCGTGTTGTAGATAGTCTTAATGACCCTCGTGTTGTAGATAGTCTTAATGACCCTCGTGTTGTAGATAGTCTTAATGACCCTCGTATTGTAGATAGTCTTAATGACCCTCGTGTAGTAGATAGCCTTAATGACCCTCGTGTAGTAGTCTTAATGACCCTCGTGTAGTAGTCTTAATGACCCTCGTGTAGTAGTCTTAATGACCCTCGTGTAGTAGATAGTCTTAATGACCCTCGTGTTGTAGATAGTCTTAATGACCCTCGTGTTGTAGATAGTCTTAATGACCCTCGTGTTGTAGTCTTAATGACCCTCGTGTTGTAGATAGTCTTAATGACCCTCGTGTAGTAGATAGTCTTAATGACCCTCGTGTTGTAGATAGTATTAATGACCCTCGTGTAGTAGATAGTCTTAATGACCCTCGTGTAGTAGATAGTCTTATTGACCCTCGTGTAGTAGATAGTCTTAATGACCCTCGTGTTGTAGATAGTCTTAATGACCCTCGTGTTGTAGATAGTCTTAATGACCCTCGTGTTGTAGATAGTCTTAATGACCCTCGTGTAGTAGATAGTCTTAATGACCCTCGTGTTGTAGATAGTATTAATGACCCTCGTGTAGTAGATAGTATTAATGACCCTCGTGTAGTAGATAGTCTTAATGACCCTCGTGTAGTAGATAGTCTTAATGACCCTCGTGTTGTAGATAGTCTTAATGACCCTCGTGTAGTAGATAGTCTTAATGACCCTCGTGTAGTAGTCTTAATGACCCTCGTGTAGTAGATAGTCTTAATGACCCTCGTGTAGTAGTCTTAATGACCCTCGTGTAGTAGATAGTCTTAATGACCCTCGTGTAGTAGATAGTCTTAATGACCCTCGTGTTGTAGATAGTCTTAATGACCCTCGTGTTGTAGATAGTCTTAATGACCCTCGTGTTGTAGTCTTAATGACCCTCGTGTTGTAGATAGTCTTAATGACCCTCGTGTAGTAGATAGTCTTAATGACCCTCGTGTTGTAGATAGTATTAATGACCCTCGTGTAGTAGATAGTCTTAATGACCCTCGTGTTGTAGATAGTCTTAATGACCCTCGTGTTGTAGATAGTCTTAATGACCCTCGTATTGTAGTCTTAATGACCCTCGTGTAGTAGATAGTATTTATGACCCTCGTGTAGTAGATAGTCTTAATGACCCTCGTGTTGTAGATAGTCTTAATGACCCTCGTGTTGTAGATAGTCTTAATGACCCTCGTATTGTAGATAGTCTTAATGACCCTCGTGTAGTAGATAGTATTTATGACCCTCGTGTAGTAGATAGTCTTAATGACCCTCGTGTTGTAGATAGTCTTAATGACCCTCGTGTAGTAGATAGTCTTAATGACCCTCGTGTAGTAGATAGTCTTAATGACCCTCGTGTAGTAGATAGTCTTAATGACCCTCGTGTAGTAGATAGTCTTAATGACCCTCGTGTAGTAGATAGTCTTAATGACCTCGTGTAGTAGTCTTAATGACCCTCGTGTTGTAGATAGTCTTAATGACCCTCGTGTAGTAGATAGTCTTAATGACCCTCGTGTAGTAGATAGTCTTAATGACCCTCGTGTAGTAGTCTTAATGACCCTCGTGTTGTAGATAGTCTTAATGACCCTCGTGTAGTAGATTGTCTTAATGACCCTCGTGTAGTAGTCTTAATGACCCTCGTGTAGTAGTCTTAATGACCCTCGTGTTGTAGATAGTCTTAATGACCCTCGTGTAATAGATAGTCTTAATGACCCTCGTGTAGTAGATAGTCTTAATGTCCCTCGTGTAGTAGACAGTCTTAATGACCCTCGTGTAGTAGATAGTCTTAATGACCCTCGTGTATTAGATAGTCTTAATGACCCTCGTGTAGTAGATAGTCTTAATGACCCTCGTGTAGTAGATAGTCTTAATGACCCTCGTGTTGTAGTCTTAATGACCCTCGTGTAGTAGATAATCTTAATGACCCTCGTGTAGTAGATAATCTTAATGACCCTCGTGTAGTAGATAGTCTTTTTAGTATGATAATAAGATGTTATCTTCATTATAGAATAATAAGAAAATATTATAACCTTTATATTATAATAATAAGGTAAAAGGACCCCAATGGAAATAAGTCACTCTGTCTGACTTTTTTGGGTTATCCCAGGTTCTCTACACATATGCTGCTATGTATGATAATTCTATGTAACTTTGTGTATACCTGAATAAACTTACTAAGAAACAGAGTAACAGAGAGAGAGAGAGAGAGTGGAAGACAGAGTACACTGGGGTGCACTTCTGTCTCGACGTCACTCTTGACACACACAGTGAGTCAGTCCACTGGTGAGTCTGTGAGTCACAGTCCTAGGTGGAGTGCAGAATCAGACGGTGCTGAGAGTGACTCTTGACTAACTTGTATGAGCTGCCTGTGTAGTGTATAGTGGCTTCGTCAGTCCTTTACAAAGAAGAATGGTGGAGATCAGAAGGAGTTTGAAGTAATCAGTCCCTCAACCTTGATGGACTGATTACATCGACTCCAGGCCGAGGGGACTGATGAAGTCACTAAGTGGCAAAACGTTTCCCTCAATAAAGATACCCAAGTGTTGTACATGTATCTTACTCATGCAACAGCCAATGAGAATGACCTTGTTGTACCTCGCCTCATTCCGAACCAATCATAACTGTTTCCAGGATCTTACATCACTCTGACCTTTCACCGTATCATGACACATACCGGGATACATGATACTTGGGGCACATACCCGGGACACATATCCGGGACACATAACCAGAGCACATGATACCCGGGACACATACCCGGGGCACATGATACCTGGGGCACATACCCGGGACACATACCCAGAGCACATGATACCCGGAACCCATACCCGGGGAACATGATACCCGGGGCACGATACCCGGGACACATACCCGGAATATATGATATCCGGGCACATACCCGGGGCACATGATACCCGGGGGCACATACCCTGGACATATATGTGACCCCCTCCCTTGCAGTATGGGAACGAAAGAGGGGGGTCATTATCCCCTTGCTCCCCCCTGCTGGTGCAACCAGGCTTGACTGACTGATGGTGCAGCCAGGCTTGACTGACTGATGGTGCAACCAGGCTTGACTGACTGATGGTGCAGCCAGGCTTGACTGACTGATGGTGCAACCAGGCTTGACTGACTGATGGTGCAGCCAGGCTTGACTGACTGATGGTGCAACCAGGCTTGACTGACTGATGGTGCAACCAGGCTTGACTGACTGATGGTGCAGCCAGGCTTGACTGACTGATGGTGCAACCAGGCTTGACTGACTGATGGTGCAACCAGGCTTGACTGACTGATGGTGCAGCCAGGCTTGACTGACTGATGGTGCAACCAGGCTTGACTGACTGATGGTGCAGCCAGGCTTGACTCACTAATGGTGCAACCAGGCTTGACTGACTGATGGTGCAGCCAGGCTTGACTCACTGATGGTACAGCCAGGCTTGACTGACTGATGGTGCAGCCAGGCTTGACTGACTGACTGGTATTTCACGGTCTCCACAGTCAAGGTTGTGTCCAGGTGGTCACCCACCCAGTGACTGGACTCATGCAACCCTTCTTAACCTGACTGAACCAGTCAACCAGCCACCAGCCCCACGCCATGACAGAGAGAGAGAGAGAGAGAGAGAGAGTATGAGGGTCAGTATTAACACTGCTGGCAATACACTGTGCCACATACAACACAGTTTTCTTATATTCCCCCATCCCCCCAACATTCCCCCACCCCCACCTATCATTCCGTTTTCTATGTTTCTTGTAAAGTTCGGATTATTGAGGTCTCAGGTGTGTGTGCGTGTGTGTGCGTGCGTGTGCGTGTGCGTGTGCGTGTGCGTGTGCGTGTGTGTGTGTGTGTGTCTTGTGCTGTTCACCTAGACGTCACTAGGCACCTGTATGTTAGGTGACTTGTGGGTGGCATCCTGGGAGGGAGATGAAGATATAACTGGACAGGATTCGATTTTGTAAATGAGGTAAGGTAGGATAACAGTTCTTAGCTTGTAAATGAGCTGAGGTAAGATAACAGCTCTTAGCTTGTAAATGAGCTGAGGTAAGATAACAGCTCTAGCTTGTAAATGAGCTGAAGTAAGATAACAGCTCTTAGCTTGTAAATGAGCTGAGGTAAGATAACAGCTCTTAGCTTGTAAATGAGCTGAGGTAAGATAACAGCTCTTAGCTTGTAAATGAGCTGAGGTAAGATAACAGCTCTTAGCTTGTAAATGAGCTGAGGTAAGATAACAGCTCTTAGTTTGTAAATGAGATGAGGTAAGATAACAGCTCTTAGCTTGTAAATGAGCTGAAGTAAGATAACAGCTCTTAGCTTGTAAATGAGCTGAAGTAAGATAACAGCTCTTAGCTTGTAAATGAGCTGAGGTAAGATAACAGCTCTTAGCTTGTAAATGAGCTGAAGTAAGATAACAGCTCTTACCTTGTAAATGAGCTGAGGTAGGATAACAGCTCTTAGCTTGTAAATGAGCTGAAGTAAGATAACAGCTCTTAGCTTGTAAATGAGCTGAAGTAAGATAACAGCTCTTAGCTTGTAAATGAGCTGAAGTAAGATAACAGCTCTTAGCTTGTAAATGAGCTGAAGTAAGATAACAGCTCTTAGCTTGTAAATGAGCTGAAGTAAGATAACAGCTCTTAGCTTGTAAATGAGCTGAAGTAAGATAACAGCTCTTAGCTTGTAAATGAGCTGAAGTAAGATAACAGCTCTTAGCTTGTAAATGAGCTGAAGTAAGATAACAGCTCTTAGCTTGTAAATGAGCTGAAGTAAGATAACAGCTCTTAGCTTGTAAATGAGCTGAGGTAAGATAACAGCTCTTAGCTTGTAAATGAACTGAAGTACGATAACAGCTCTTAGCTTGTAAATGTGTTGAGGTAAGATAACAGCTCTTAGCTTGTAAATGTGTTGAGGTAAGATAACAGCTCTTAGCTTGTAAATGAGTTGAAGATAACAGCTCTTAGCTTGTAAATGTGTTGAGGTAAGATAACAGCTCTTAGCTTGTAAATGAGTTGAAGATAACAGCTCTTAGCTTGTAAATGTGTTGAGGTAAGATAACAGCTCTTAGCTTGTAAACTAAACAGTGTAAAATACGAGGACTACCAATAATGACCCAAAACATCTATGAGATGTTCTAGACTTGGCCAAGACTCACCTAGACATGGCAAACACTCACCTAGGCATGGCCAAGACTCATCTTGATATGGCCAAGACTCACCTAGGGCCAGGACTCGCCTAGAGTCAGGACTCGCCTAGAGTCAGGACTCACCTAGAACCAGGACTCACCTAGAACCAGGGCTCACCTAGAACCAGGACTCACCTAGAACCAGGACTCACCTAAAGCCAGGACTCACCTAGAGCCAGAAGAACCTTGAGCTTGGGGTTCTGGGACTTGAGACCGTTGACCTGCTCGTAGAAGCCAGTCTTGCCGTCTTTGGACTCGTCGTTGGACTCGAAGGAGGAGAGTCGTCCCTTCTTCATCCAGCCGAAGGCGTAGATGATGTGCGTGCAGAGGAAGGGGTCGATGTGCTCTGGCAGGAACTTGGCTATCTTAGGTCTGTACTGCGACCAGTTGGTGTAGTAACACACTAACTGTAAGGGCAAGGTAGTACGTGGGAGTATATGGGAGTACAAGGAGGTACATGGGAGTACATGGGAAAGACAGATGGCAGAGGACTTTAATGTTTAAAATGAGGTTATCTGCTGAGAAGTCTGCTAATATCCAGATTAATGACTATTATGGACTATCTTGTATCGCTGGAGACGAGGATGGTGGTAGTGGTGGTGAGGAGGGATGGAAGAACTGGGGGAGGGAAGAACTGAAGGAGGAATAGGAGAGACGGAAGAAGTGAGGGAGGAAAGGAAGTAGTGTGTATCTACTAACCTGACCATAAATACAACAAAATCTATAACAGGTTTCTCTCTCTCTCTCTCTCTCTCTCTCTCTCTCTCTCTCTCTCTCTCTCTCTCTCTCTCTCTCTCTCTCTCTCTCACTCACACACACACACACACACACACACACTGACCCTATCAGGTCCTACGTTAAGTACATCAACTGTGACCTCCAGCCGGTTTGACCTGCATGACCAGAGCTTTCATCTGACCTATAGCAAGCACTGGTTTTCATGACCTTAAAATGACCTGATATTAAAAACAACAACTATGGCACTGTGTCAGTGTTGCTGCAGGTGACATGGTCAGGGAACATGCAAGACTGTGTTTAGAAGGTGTGTCCTGACCTAGCTTGGCCTCCCCTAGCTTGGCATGACCTGGCTTGGCATGATCTAGCTTGCCATGACCTGGCTTGGCAAGACCCAGCTTGGCATAACCTGACTTGGCATGCTCTAGCTTGGCATGACTCAGCTTGGTATGACCTAGCTTGGCCCCACCTAGCTTGGGAGGACATGGCTTGGCATGATCTAGCTTGGAATGACCTGGCTTGACATGACCTAGCTTGACATGACTTAGCTTGGCATGACCTGGCTTGGCAAAATCTAGCTTGACATGACCTAGCTTGACCTCACCTAGCTTGGCATGGCCTAACTTGACATGACCCAGCTTGACATGACTGACCTAGCTTGGCCTCACCTAGCTTGGCATGACCTAGCTTGGCCTCACCTAGCTTGGCATCATCTAGCTTGACATGACCTAGCTAGGCGTGACCTAGCTTGGCATGACCTAGCTTGGCATGACCTAGCTTGGCATGACCTAGCTTGGCATGACCTAGCGTGACCTCACCTAGCTTGACATGACCTAGCTTGGCATGACCTAGCTTGGCATGACCTAGCTTGGCATGACCTAGCTTGGCATGACCTAGCTTGACATGACCTAGTTTGGCATGACCTAGCTTGGCATAACCTAGCTTGGCATAACCTAGCTTGGCATAACCTAGCTTGGCATAACCTAGCTTGGCATAACCTAGCTTGGCATGACCTAGCTTGACCTCACCTTGCGGTTGCCGTCACCAGCTGACGTAAGCGCGTTGCTCCCCGCCTGACCATTCTCCTTGGGCTGACTGCTGGCTGACGGTCGGAAGCGAGGGCCCAGCTGTCAACAAGAAAGGGGAATTAAGGGAGTGTCAGCAAATGGGTAAAGACATTATTAACACGAGACCACCAGAAGTAAAAGGGGAAGGATATAAAGTTTTTATATCTATAAACATGACAAGTTTATAATACACATTTGTTGGACAAATGTATACGTGGGAGAGGTTTGTGTGAGGTGTTGTCATCTCTGAGTGAGGTGTCATCTCAGTGTTTAATATTTAAAACGTTAAACACTGAAGATGTGTGAGTAAGCACGCGAAAGCGCTCAGGTTTTATTTCCTATTTTCACTGTGGTAATTTTACGTATTTGCTAAGAATCTTAGCAAGTGTCCCTCGGAACGAATCTGTTGACATCTCTTACTCATTTCTGCAATATTGCAAGCTCCTGATGATGTGATTGCAACACGAAAGGCCTAGAGCTGTTACTGAACTCAACTTAAGGGTCGTGCCCGGCCAAGGAAGGATTAAATAAAGAAGAGAGCACATTCACCATCATTCATCATCTTTCCTTAAAGTGTGCTGGCATCACAATCAGATTACTGCAACATCTCGACCCTATTCTTCAGAGTGCAGCAGGAGCTGCCCTTCCCACCTCCAGGACTCGAGTTCGGCTAAGTGGTTTCCCTGAATCCCTTCACAGATGTTACCTGGATCGCACTCCAACAGCACGTCTAGTAAAAGCCACTTATCTCCATTCACTCCTGTCTAACACGCTCACACAAGCCTGCTGGATGCTGAAGCCCACAGAACTCAAAACCTCTTTTACCCACTATCTCCAACCGCTCATGGATTCACCCCCCCCCCCCCACAGATTTATACACCTTCACATCATCCTGTCCCTCCACATCCTCTCTACATGGCTAAACCATCCCAACAACCCTTCCTCAACCCTCTCAATTATGTCTTTAATGACCCCACATCCAGATGTGGTCCTCTTGACCCTTTTGTGGCCTAGTTCCTAGGTCTCTTGTGTATCCATATGTCGTTACACTACCATCCACTGGATGGACATAAGGTGCGCCATAAACTAGCCACATTAACACTATAATCTACCTCTGAAGGAGGAAGTTACTCACCCTGTTTCTATTCCTGGATGTTGTGGCTTGTCTCCTGGGCACAGTGTCAGTGTCAGGGGCGACTCCTATGCGTCTCCTGCCCACGGTGCCCAGGGTGTTGACCACGGCTGTCTCTGTCTGTACCGACGCTGCTGTTTCCTGACCTTGCTCGCGCTGGCGGCCGCGGAACCGCGAACGCTGGCGGGGACTGGCGCGATCTACCGATGTAAGAGAGTGTAAATACAACGATAATACATAATACAGTGAGGATACATCAGTAAAAGATTGAACTAGCTATTTTGTGTGTGTGTGTGTGTGTGTGTGTGTGTGTGTGTGTGTGAGAGAGAGAGAGAGAGAGAGAGAGAGTAATGTTATGTATATTTAATAAGTAAATTTATGATTAGAATTTTTTATAAGCGTTTGTTCTCTCTCTCTCTCTCTCTCTCTCTCTCTCTCTCTCTCTCTCTTCTCTCTCTTTTCTCTCTCTCTCCTCTCTCTCTCTCTCTCCATATTATAAATTAATATTATAACAAAGAAGAGCTAAACCCCCAAGGGTCATACAGCACCCGGAGAATGGGAGGTAATCAGGTTTGAACCAAGGATGTGGCTGACACAACACAAGAAGGAACACTGCAGTAGTACATCAATGGTATACAATACCGACAAGATAATAATTAGACACATATGGAATCATGGTTGAGAGGACATCTCCACAACCTTCTTCACTACTACTGACCCATCCCTTGGGTATGACCTACTTCCACTGGGGAATCCCGCCTACCAGTGACTATGCCTTCGTCTGCTACCCGCCCCTTTCCACCTGATGCCAGTATATAAGCGCCAGCCTTCTTGCCTGTGCTCCAGAATCTTCACGACTACGGTGCTCTTCACACTAACTCCAAGGCTGAGGGACTCATTACCTCATCTTTTGTATATAGTTTTACTGTCTTCAAGTTACGTCCTAGAATTTGTATTGATAAAACCACTGGATGACGAAACGTCTAATTAAAGATACCCAGATGTTGCATATGTGCCTAATTTTCATCAATACTGCAATAGGCCTACTGGCTCATGCTAGGCAGGTCCAACCCACACATCCACTCATGTACGCTACCTGGCAGTGTAGTTCCACTGGTCTACAACTCTACTGCCACACCATTACTTCTCCATATCCTTTCTAAATCTAATTGTTTCCAACTTGATTCCACTGGTGCGAGTCCTGTCTTGGTGAGGGAGTTTCAAACATGTTGTGTATATTCCCTTTGATGGAGAATTAGACACAAGTGCAATATCTGGGTATCTTTATTTGTAGACTTTTCCCCATCCAGTTGCATTATCAATACAGTATAATGTGAAGACTGTAGAACTATACACAAGACATGAGATCAGTTACTCAGCCTTGGAGTTGAAGATCACCTTATTAGTCTATGACCTAATTACATCTTCATTTCGCTACTACACCTGCTGCCTCTGTATCTGACTAAAGAAGCCTACTCTGTAGGCGAAATTTTTCAGCAATAAAGATACCTAACTGCTGTACATGTGTCTTAATCATCAACTTGTCGGTATTTTATACTATTTTCAACATAACTGTCAGACAGCGCAACACAACGATGTCTTGGTACAGATGACTTCTTCCACACTTTGTCGCTTAACTACTGGTTATTAGTGAGAAGGGTTAGATTCCAGAGGAACCTGCCTTCTTCCACTAGTGGATCCTGTCCCCTTCATTGTCTTAGAGATCTTCCACCTCACCCCCGACGGCATTTAAGTCTCCATTCTCGTGCCACAGCTTCATACCTCATCACCCACACTCCAAAGAATCTCCTGAGTCGTTCTGGCACTTGGGCTCCAGCCTGAGTGCCAGGAATAGCTCACCTGGAGTTGAAAGAGTCACCGTGCCCTTGTTATAGGGCTGCCCCCGCCGTAGGGCTGTAAACAGTACATCACTTGTACCAACTCCGATACTCCTTCGGGAGTCACTGCCGGGTCACCACATGGAGAAGACCCGGGTCAGGGCCCGTCCTGGCAAACATATATGAACACGAGGAACACGAGCTTCAGCTTCATATCGTTCCAGACCATGGAGCTGAACTCTTCTCCAGGCTTTGGGACTCACCACACTGTTCCAGACCATGGAGCTGAACTCTTCTCCAGGCTGAGGGACTCACCACACTGTTCCAGACCATGGAGCTGAACTCTTCTCCAGGCTGAGGGACTCACCACCTCAAATACTATTCCTCCAAGGTTGATGGACTGATTACATCATCTTCATTTCACTACTCCTGCTGCCTCTGTATTTGACTGAAGAAGCCTAATGTGTAGGCGAAACATTTCAACAATAAAATACTTTAATCATCATCTACACCTTAACGAGCACAATAATAAGTGGTAACGAGGGATTCACAACACTCTCTTTCCTCCTATCACCTCTTGACAACATCTATCCTAATTTAAGCTGGAAAATTTGCAAATTACTCTCTCTAAAAACCTCCATCAATTTTATCATTAATATAATCATGACCACCGTAATTACTACTATTACTACTACTATTAAGATGGTCGATACTGTTACTATTATTAGTTGACAGGAATGTTAGAGGGTGTTACCCTCTCTACCTGTGACTGCTGTTGTTTGGGCTGTTATTATTGCATCTTGTGGTCTGTTAACGATTAATTTCAGTAGCAGCTTTCACTGTGCCTTTCATGCTTGTTGCGGGTGATCTAACATGTCTCAAGTGCGGGGAAATATATATATTATTAACAATGACACGAGTTCCACACTTTCCCTGCATTCTCTCACTCTCTCTCTCTCTTACACACACAGCCTGTTAGAATTCCATGGCAAAGCAGCGGAAGCGAGAACAGAGGGACAAGGATGGGTGGATCGCATTTTCCTCGTCTTCAAGAAGGCGTTTGACACTGTCCCCCTACAAGAGACTAGGACAAAAACTTGAGGTGCAGGCAGGGATAACAGGGAAGGTAGTCCGGTGGATCCAAGGGAAAATCAAGCAAAAGGTGACTTGTGAAGGGCAGTTAGAATGTGGAAGAGTAACAAGCGTGGTTCCGCAAGGATCGGTATTAGGGCCAGTACTGTTTCTGGTTTGTGTGAAAGACATACCAGATGGGATGGAGTCAGAGGTAACCCCGTTTGTTGATGATTTAAAACCAATGAGGAGAATAATAAGAGGAAAGGACAGGGAAAGGCTGCAAATGTATCTGAACAAATTGCAGGACTGATAAGGTAAGTGGTTGATTGGTGAAGTAGTTAACTGATGAGGTAAGTGGTTGATCGAATTTAACCCCAGCAAATGCGAGATTACAGAGATTGGTGCAGGGGGGAGAAGACCGTAAACGGCATACAGACTGGGAGAACAAAGACCTAGTGGTGAGTATAGTGACCAACATGTCACCAGAGACTCACATCAAGCGAATAACCTCTGCAGCCAATGCTCGTCTGGCAAATCTAAGAGTAGCCTTGAGGAATCTCAAGAAGGTCATTCCTAGCCCTTTATGCAACACGTGTCATTCGCATCTTGGAGTATGCAGCACCAATATGGAACCCACACTTGAAAAAGCATGCTAAGAAAGTGGAGAAAGTGCAGAGGTATGCAACAAGACTAGTCCCAGAACCAAGAGGTTTCCAGACACACAACACACACACACGACTCTTGCTCACGTTCTTCTCAAATTTTCACGTGTGTTTTAACGTCACTTTCTCAGGTGGTCACTGTCACCTGGCCACCACCTTGAGCACCTACCAGGTGGCGTCACTCACCTGCCACTCTCAGAGGGCCGGTAGCTCAGCTGACTGCTGTTGCTCTCTAATGATTTACCTCCAGTCAGCTGATAACTCAGGTGATCAATGTAGCCACGTGTGTTTACCACCAGTCAGCTGATTAATGTAGCCACGTGTCTTTACCACCAGTCAGCTGATTAATGTAGCCACGTGTCTTTACCACCAGTCAGCTGATTAATGTAGCCACGTGTCTTTATCACCAATCAGCTGATTAATGTAGCCACGTGTGTTTACCACCAGTCAGCTGATCAATGTAGCCACATGTGTTTACCTCCAGTCAGCTGATCACTAAATTTCTCCTCTACAAACACACACACACACACACACACACACACAAACCCGATAGGACAGATAAACGTCAGCCACCCTTTGACTGAGAATTGAGCCCAGTTGCTGAAGCTCAACCTCAGAACACTCAGCTGATAATTGTAGTGAACCTCAGGTGGAGGCAGATTAAAATTATCTGGAGGTGTACTACACACACACACACACACACACACACACACACACACACACACACACAACACACACACACACACACACACACACACACACACACACACACTGTAGATCCTTCTTCCACCGGAAGAGAGAAAGGTCTGTCAAGGGAGAGTGGGTCTTATGCTTACCTTGAGCAAGGGTGAAAGTCGCCAGCAGGACCACCCCCAGCAACATCCATCTTGCCTTCTGAAAGATATCAAACACAGGATGATGATTACTAACTTAATAATGATGAATGATGACGTGATGAATAATAATGAACAGTGATGAATGATGATCAACAGTGATGAATAATGATCAACAGTGATGAATAATGATCAACAGTAATTGTGATGAGTAATGATGAATTATGATAATGATGAATGAATGATGAACAATGATGAACAGTGATGAATGATGACGAAAAATGATGAATGAATTATGATAAATAATGCTGAATGAATAATAATATTGAACGATGAATAATAATCAAGTAATGAATAATGATGAATAATGTTAAGTCTGTAGGTAAGATTAAAATTATCATATCAGTTACTGCAATAACAACAACTATAATAATAATAATAATAATAATAATAATAATAATAATAATAATAATAATAATAATAATAATAATGTGTAATTTATACATATATACTTCTAAACTGTTGTATTCTGAGCAGCTCTGCAAAAACAGTGATAATGTGTGAGTGTGGTGAAAGTGTTGAATGATGATGAAAGTATTTTCTTTTTGAGGGATTTTCTTTATTTTTGGGTCACCCTGCCTCGGTGGGAGACGGCCGACTTGTAAAAAAAATAATAATATAGTCTTTCTCTCTCTCTCTCTCTCTCTCTCTCTCTCTCTCTCTCTCTCTCTCTCTCTCTCTCTCTCTCTCTCGCACACAGGTGGGTGTGGCAGGTCCTGCAGGGAAGGTTTTATTCCTGATTTCCCAAGCTTTCCACACCACCACCACCTCTCCTTACATCCATAAACACACACACACACACACACACACACACACACACACACACACACACACACACACACACACACACACACACACACACACACACACACACACAGAAGTGTCCCTGTTTGCAGACGATGTGATGTTATGGAGGAGAGTTCAATCAGAGGAGGACCAGGCAGGACGGCAGAGTGACCTGAACAGGCTGCAGGCCTGGTCCAGTAACTGGCTCCTGGAATTCAGCCCCACTAAATGCAAAGTCATGAAGATCGGAAAAGGACAAAGAAGACCGCAGACAGAGTACAGTCTAGGGGGCCAAAGTCTGTGATTGTGTACTCACCTAGTTGTGGTTGCAGGGGTCGATTCACAGCTCCTGGCCCCGCCTCTTTACTGGCAGCTACTAGGTCACTCTCCCTGAGCCATGAGCTTTATCATACCTCTGCTTAAAGCTGTGTATGGATCCTGCCTCCACTACATCGCTTCCCAAACTATTCCACTTCCTGACTACTCCGTGGCTGAAGAAATACTTCTTAACATCCCTGTGATTCATCTATGTCTTCAACTTCCAACTGTGTCTCCTTGTTGCTGTGTCCCATCTCTGGAACATCCTGTCTTTGTCCACTTTGTCAATTCCTCTCAGTATTTTATATGTCGTTATCATGCCCCTACCTCCTGCCTCCAATGTCGCAGGGATTTCCTTACTTTCCTAGGGGCATCCCCTTTGCTCTGGACTACTTGTTCAAACCTTGCCCTTTTTCCCAGTTTCTTTTTGTGATTGGGGTAGTGGGGTTCCAAAAGGTCTGCATACTCCAATAGGGCCTAATTTCAGGGTCCTGAACGTTCCCCTTTTTAAAGATGGGGGAAGCTGTTCTTAGGGTTTTCTAAACCCTAGCTGCAGCAGTTATTGGTTAAAGTGGCCTCGGAGAATTTTTGGGGTTTTACTCCCCCAAATCTTTTTCTTTAGGAGGTTTGAGTCTTCCCCCTAGATTTGTCTTTTTTCTGCCCTTTTTGTTGTGGGTACTCACCATTTGTGGTTGCGTCAGTCTTAGCTCCTGGCCCCGCCTCTTCACCTTGCAAAAGGGCCCCTCTTCTCCCCCCCATAGCTTTCAATCCTAAAACTGGTTGGCCTGCCCCCTACGTCCCTTTTTGGGGGTTTACTCCTTACAAACCATGACTGGAAAAATTCCTAAACTCTGACCATTGTGCTTCCTTCCAAATTTTGGGGGCCCCTTTTTTTCTGTTCCCCCCTGAAATCCTTTTTTGACCCGGGCAAAGCCTTTTTATTGTCGTACAAAAAACTCCCCACCCCCTTCTCCCGTTCGTGGGGTTTTCCCTTAAATTTTTTCATAAAACCCCAGTTGAAACCTAATTGTCCAAACCCCTTTTCTTTTCCCTTTTTTACTCTTTTTCTTCCGGTTCCAAACGTTCTGAAACTCCATAATGCTCATACACGGTTTAACAAATTTGGTCTTTCGTTCCTATAAAAATGGGAACTTTTAATTTGCCGGGCCCCCAATCCTCAGCAGTTACTGTTGATTTTGTGGAGACATGCTCTTTTAAACCACCCAGATTTTCTCCTTGAGTGAGTCCCAACACCACCAACAAACAAAAAAAAAAAGATAAACAAAAAAAAAAAAAGGCAAAAAAAAAAAACATAAAAAAAAAACAAAAAAAAAAATAAACATAATAAACAAACAAAAAGTAAGAAGCAAAAAAAAAACCAAACAAAAACAAAAAAAGAAGGCAAACCTCGAATGAACAACTAAAAAAAAAAAAATAAATAAAAACAAAAATAAAAAAAAAAAAAAAAAAAGAACAAAAAAAAAAACACCACAAAATTCCACCCCCACCAAAAAAACAACGAGCGCGCACACAAAAAAAGACAAATAACATATACACAATAAAAACCAAAAACACAAAAAACCACCCACAAAAAAGCCCAAAAAAAACCAAAACAAACCCAACCCCTAAACAACACACCAACCAACCCCACACCACAACAAACGCACCCCCACACCCCCCACCCCCACCCAACTCCCCCACCCACCCGACCACCCACCCCCCACGTCCTACTCCCCACCACCCCCCAAATCCCATGCCCCCCACCCCTCCCCACCCCCCACTTACACCCACACAAAACGCAACAACACCACAACATAAATAAACAGGTCAGCGGGACCCAAAGCACCCACCCCAACAAAAACACACACCCACCACCACCCCCCCAAATAGCAACCACACCACCCAACCGACCCCACCAAAAAAATCACTACACAGCCCCAGATCACCCAATAAACAACACACGCAAAAACGTCTCCCCACAACCACACCCCCCAACTCCAACAACCCAACACCAACCAACACCCCCCCCCTCCACCCCACAACAAACTACACACCACCCGCAACGCAAAAAAATCCAAAACCCCCCCATCCACACCCACCCCCCCCACCAACCACCACAACCCCCCAACCACAGCCAACCCGCTCAATACCCATGAATAAACCCAACCAACACCCAACACCAAACACACACGCTCCAACCGGCGGTCACCCATAACCCACCCCCCGCGCGCGCGCGCCACCACTCCCGTCCCCCCCCCCCCCACCCCCCCCCCCCCCACCACCCCCACTCCACACCCCCCCCCCGCGCCACCCCCCCCCCACCCCACCCCCCCCCACCCACCCCACCCCCCCCCTCCCCTCCCCCCAGTCCACCACCTCCACCACTCGCTCCCCCACCCCTCCCCAACCCCCACCCCCCCCCACCCCCCTGCACACCCCCCACCCCCCCCCCCCCCCCACCCCCACACCCCCCCCCACCCCCCCCCCACCCCCCCCACCCCCCCCCCCCACCCCCCCCCCCCCCCCCCCCCCCCCCCTCCCCCTCCCCCCCCCACCCCCCAAAACCCCCCCCCCCCCCCCCCCCGCTCCACCCGCC